TCCTACAGACCAAGAAGTGAGTGACAAATCCACTTCATTCCTCCAACAGGTTACGCATAAATTTTTGTATTTGGAATCAAGTATATGAGTCAGTTGGGCCTAGTGCATAAATGAAATGCACTTTGATTGTATTAAAACAATCAGTTTGAGTGAAAGTTTCCCAAAATCAACATTGGCATTAGAGAAGGAAATTGGCTATACCAGTTGTTAGTCCAAACTTTCCCTTTAAAGCATCAATTTGGTCTTTATTCCAATTAAATTTAATATTTTTGTCCTTTTACGCATGTTTTTGTCCATTTAACCTGAAGCTGATCAGTTTACATGATTGGATTTCTGGGAAATAGATGGCTTTACATCAGTGTTGGGTTTAGAGCTTTTATTGACAACAGCAGGACAAGTTGGAAGTCAGGAACATGAACTCTACATGTGTTCAGTCGTCATGTCCTCATATTGTTTCAAGCTGTGAAGAACATGAGTGTGTTTCAGAATACGTCCTCATATGGTTGGACCAACAACTCTAGTGTGTGTGTGTTACACTGTCCTCATATTGTTGGGTAGCAGAACTGTACTGTGTTAAGTTTCTATAGAATCTGGCATAAGGAAGTCAGATCCTTCTGTAATAATGTTCACTGAAACAAGTATGATCTGTAGTTAATGAGCTAGTCAGCATTTGTAGTACAGAATGTTTCTGACATTATATTGTTGTCTTTTGTTGCAGACACCAAGTGTTGAGACCCTGTCCAACCTCCTACAGACCAAGAAGTGAGTGACAAATCCACTTCATTCCTCCAACAGGTTACGCATAAATTTTTGTATTTGGAATCAAGTATATGAGTCAGTTGGGCCTAGTGCATAAATGAAATGCACTTTGATTGTATTAAAACAATCAGTTTGAGTGAAAGTTTCCCAAAATCAACATTAGCATTAGGAGAAGGAAATTGGCTATACCAGTTGTTAGTCCAAACTTTCCCTTTAAAGCATCAATTTGGTCTTTATTCCAATTAAATTTAATATTTTTGTCCTTTTACACATGTTTTTGTCCATTTAACCTGAAGCTGATCAGTTTACATGATTGGATTTCTGGGAAATAGATGGCTTTACATCAGTGTTGGGTTTAGAGCTTTTATTGACAACAGCAGGACAAGTTAGAAGTCAGGAACATGAACTCTACATGTGTTCAGTCGTCATGTCCTCATATTGTTTCAAGCTGTGAAGAACATGAGTGTGTTTCAGAATACGTCCTCATATGGTTGGACCAACAACTCTAGTGTGTGTGTGTTACACTGTCCTCATATTGTTGGGTAGCAGAACTGTACTGTGTTAAGTTTCTATAGAATCTGGCATAAGGAAGTCAGATCCTTCTGTAATAATGTTCACTGAAACAAGTATGATCTGTAGTTAATGAGCTAGTCAGCATTTGTAGTACAGAATGTTTCTGACATTATATTGTTGTCTTTTGTTGCAGACACCAAGTGTTGAGACCCTGTCCCAACCTCCTACAGACCAAGAAGTGAGTGACAAATCCACTTCATTCCTCCAACAGGTTACGCATAAATTTTTGTATTTGGAATCAAGTATATGAGTCAGTTGGGCCTAGTGCATAAATGAAATGCACTTTGATTGTATTAAAACAATCAGTTTGAGTGAAAGTTTCCCAAAATCAACATTGGCATTAGGAGAAGGAAATTGGCTATACCAGTTGTTAGTCCAAACTTTCCCTTTAAAGCATCAATTTGGTCTTTATTCCAATTAAATTTAATATTTTTTGTCCTTTTACGCATGTTTTTGTCCATTTAACCTGAAGCTGATCAGTTTACATGATTGGATTTCTGGGGAAATAGATGGCTTTACATCAGTGTTGGGTTTAGAGCTTTTATTGACAACAGCAGGACAAGTTGGAAGTCAGGAACATGAACTCTACATGTGTTCAGTCGTCATGTCCTCATATTGTTTCAAGCTGTGAAGAACATGAGTGTGTTTCAGAATACGTCCTCATATGGTTGGACCAACAACTCTAGTGTGTGTGTGTTACACTGTCCTCATATTGTTGGGTAGCAGAACTGTACTGTGTTAAGTTTCTATAGAATCTGGCATAAGGAAGTCAGATCCTTCTGTAATAATGTTCACTGAAACAAGTATGATCTGTAGTTAATGAGCTAGTCAGCATTTGTAGTACAGAATGTTTCTGACATTATATTGTTGTCTTTTGTTGCAGACACCAAGTGTTGAGACCCTGTCCCAACCTCCTACAGACCAAGAAGTGAGTGACAAATCCACTTCATTCCTCCAACAGGTTACGCATAAATTTTTGTATTTGGAATCAAGTATATGAGTCAGTTGGGCCTAGTGCATAAATGAAATGCACTTTGATTGTATTAAAACAATCAGTTTGAGTGAAAGTTTCCCAAAATCAACATTAGCATTAGGAGAAGGAAATTGGCTATACCAGTTGTTAGTCCAAACTTTCCCTTTAAAGCATCAATTTGGTCTTTATTCCAATTAAATTTAATATTTTTGTCCTTTTACACATGTTTTTGTCCATTTAACCTGAAGCTGATCAGTTTACATGATTGGATTTCTGGGGAAATAGATGGCTTTACATCAGTGTTGGGTTTAGAGCTTTTATTGACAACAGCAGGACAAGTTAGAAGTCAGGAACATGAACTCTACATGTGTTCAGTCGTCATGTCCTCATATTGTTTCAAGCTGTGAAGAACATGAGTGTGTTTCAGAATACGTCCTCATATGGTTGGACCAACAACTCTAGTGTGTGTGTGTTACACTGTCCTCATATTGTTGGGTAGCAGAACTGTACTGTGTTAAGTTTCTATAGAATCTGGCATAAGGAACTCAGATCCTCCTGTCAATAATGTTCACTAATGTATCTGTGACATATATGTGAACTCAATGCAGCCTTTCATCTCAGCAAATATAATTAATGATTGACAGGGTTCACAAATTAATTTTCACCCAAGATTTTATGTCAAAATGACATGACACAAAGTGTGTGATATGTATGTTAAATCATTCTCACTATTAAGTTACAATGCATTGTTTTTCATTTCTTAACCTACTAGCAATGTTTTTTACAGTATACTGAATTGCATAATAATTTTGAGTTAGTTTTCAAATGAATTATAATTACAAACATTGAATTTGTTACGTTTCATGTAAGGCCAGACAAAAATCTCGAGTTCTCACCTTTCACCAGACAGCTACCTCAGAGCAGGTAAGCCAGCTGCCTTTTTCTTCTTCATTCAAATTGTTTATGCTATGTAATTATGCATATTTACTACATGAATGCATTTTCATCAAGTCATGGATTGCAGAATGTTCTGCTACTGGAGGGGGAATGACATTCTAGCTATTAATAAATACAAAGATGCTTTTTCTCCATTTTCGTTCAGATCTCTACTGATGAATTCTCAGATTGTACGGATTATGAAGATAAAGACTATTTCCCAGATTCATGTGGCAGTTCCTCTGACACAAGTCTCCATAGTGTGGACATGAAAATCACAGAATCTGTGGTTCCCCAAAATACGTTAAATGACATGGCATTGGAGACGGCTTCAGGACACAGTGGGAAGATCACCAGTTCAGAGAAACCTACAACATTTAATTTGTCACTGAGAAGTAGCAGTCACAGTACTTCGGTAACAAGCCGCAGTTTTGATTCATCAGGGGTCACATCACCTAAAAACAGCTCCATAAAAGTCCTACCTTTGCCAAACACGGAAAGACAAAGCAAGTACAACAAGAAGCAATACTGTCTATATTGTAAAAAGGCCATTGCTAAATTGGCAAGACACCTTGAATCTGCCCACGGTAATGTGCCGGAAGTTGCAAGCGCCTTCAGTTATGATAAAAGATCCTGCAAAAGAAGAGATTTGTTGCGCTCTATTAAGAAGAGGGGAAACTTTAACCATAATGCTACTGTGGCAACTTCTGGTGCTGGAGAAATGGTTGCTTGTCGAAGACCCACTACTGCAACAGGATCTGAGGACTACCGTCATTGTAAATTTTGTCAAGGACTATATGCAAGAAATTGCCTTTGGAGGCATGTGAGAAGGTGCCCTCAGAGGTTTAATGAGGAAGCTCCCTCTGGGCAAAGACGGATGCATCTGCAATTACCGAAACCTGATCAAGTTCATGAAGCTGTATGGAAGATTGCTTGTGAAATGAATCAGGATGACATTTCCTTTGTAGTAACGAGTGAAAGAGACATTCTTAGCCTTGGTGAGTCACTGTACAATGGCAGAAAACCAAATGAGAAAAGGAATGATTACATACGCCAAAAAATGAGAGAGATCGCAAGGTTATTGATAACCGCCAGAGCTATGACACCTTTGAAGAGCACAGAAGACCTTGTTATGCCTACTAACTTTCCCCATGTCATACAAGCAGTCAGAGCTGTTGCTGGTTATGAGCAGGAGAGCAACTCATATAAAACCCCATCCTTGGCTTTGAAATTGGGACACAGTTTGGCTAAAGTTGCAAGCATTGTGCAGTGTAAAGCCATCATTGCAAATCGCTATGATGTTGCAGAGTCAGCCAAGCAGTTTGCCACTCTGTATGAAAAAAAGTGGTCAGAGTCCATTTCAGCTGCTGCATTGGGCACACTTCAACAAGCCAAATGGAATAAACCACAGATTTTGCCATTTACACAGGATGTGTCACTGCTGCATACGTTTCTTGCTACCAAGTCCGCAATGTACATGAAGGACCTTGAGGAAAAACCCAACAGCACAACCTTCGGAAATCTTGCTCAAGTGACTTTGACGCAGGTAGTGCTATTTAACAGAAAAAGGCAAGGAGAAGTTTCAAAAATGGAGCTCCAGGTTTTTACATCCCGGAATCGCACAGAGTTGAATCCTGACATTATGATCGGCCTAACTGAGTTTGAAAGGAAACTTGCAAAGCACTTTGACAGAGTTGAGATTCGTGGTAAAAGATCAAGAATGGTACCTGTGCTTCTCACACCTGACATGATCACTGCAATGGAGCTCCTCGCAAAAGCCAGAAGTGAGTGTCAAGTCCACACAGAGAATGTGTACTTGTTTGCACGCCCAGGTGTCCTTTCCCATTACAGAGGCTCTGACTGCTTTCGCAAGTATGCAAATAAATGTGGTGCAAAGTACCCAGAGGCCCTTACCTCAACAAGATTGCGGAAACAAGTTGCCACTTTGTCCACAGTACTAAATCTAAAAGAAAATGAAATGGATCAACTTGCCACCTTTCTCGGACACGACATCCGTGTCCATCGAGAATTCTACCGGCTTCCAGAGAGTACCCTGCAGCTTGCAAAAGTCAGCAAACTGTTGATTGCAATGGAGAAAGGAAAACTGTCTGACCTGCAGGGGAAAGGGCTGGATGACATCGTGATCAATCCTGATGGTGAATTCTTTTTCTTTCTTTTTTTTTGAAACATAGTTATCTTTGAATATAACATTTGTGAATGTTCAGCAGATTCTAATATAAATATTTTGTCTTGATTATTTTTCCCCAACAAGATGAAGCAGTTACAAGTGATGATGATTCCAGTGGAGAAACCATCACTGACCCTCAACAACACAAAGGTATCTTGACTTGCCCAGTGTGTGATAATATCTTTAAGTTATGAGACTGGAGACAGTTAATAGGTTCATGTCATGTTAGATGGGCTTAAGGGACAGCAGTATATAAATTAGACAGAATGGTAGACACCATTCATTAATATGGTACTAAAAGATCTGGATACATTGAAGTCTGGCAAAATGCATAAATAAGCAATACAAAGGCAAATATTAAATATAAGGATTAGGAGGTCCACTTCTGTGAGATTAGGCACACAAGTTGAGAGGTAGTGCATGCAAGTAATGTGTTTCTAGGGAGATGCCTGAGTATTGATGAGTATTATTAGTAGATTATGTTCACATGTAAAATATTCATATCAAATGTAAAATTACACACTGCCCAATGCTGACTTTGCCTACAATGCAAACAAAAAATGCATTAATTCTCATATTTCACTGTTACTTTTCAAAGGCTCAAGGACCAAGAATTCTGGGAACCAAAGCCACACACTTTACTCAGCTTCCCTGGACAATATGGAGGGCGCTTCTGCCTCAACCACCCTGGACAATATGGAGGGCGCTTCTGCCTCAACCACCCTGGACAATATAGAGGGCGCTTCTGCCTCAACCACCCTGGACAATATGGAGGGCGCATCTGCCTCAACCACCCTGGACAACATGGAGGGCGCATCTGCCTCAACCACCCTGGACAACATGGAGGGCGCTTCTGCCTCAACCACCCTGGACAATATGGAGAGCGCTTCTGCCTCAACCACCCTGGACAGCAAAAACATCAGCAACACTGCACCAGGAAAGGGTAAAGGTACCCATATACAAAATGTTTTAAGTGAATATACTTGTTATCAATGGACATGTTTATTCTTTTCAGGCATGACACTATTAAGAGCTTTTATCATAATCCGTTTCATCTTCTTTGATTCCCAGCAGAACACAGCACTTCAAATGGTTCATCCCAAGCATCCTTGAAGGAGCATTAAGCAATATCTTTTCACTGCTAGGTGTGCTGTTTTGCACTGCCTGTAAACCAAACCAAAGTCTATGGCTGGAGATCAACACAGAGAGAGGGATTGTGACTTCATGCTGTACTCCAGATGAAATTACACCTCTAATTATTCACATAGCCATTTTTAATTCCTTCAACCTAAGTATGATGAATTGTGCTTATTGCTCCTTTAAAGTGCTCCAGTAGAAAGCAAGGTTTAAGAACATTTTGTATTCACATTAGAAACTAGAATATTTTCTCTCTTATCTTACATTCGCATTAAGATATATATTTTTTTGTTTCCATTTATGACAGCTGGGAAGGCAAGGTGCAAGTGGACAGATGATGAAGTAAAGGCTGTTGAGCGGCACTTACTTCATTTCATAACAAGCTGCAAAGTACCTGGCAAAAAGGAATGTGACTCCTGCATCCAAGCAGAGCCGGCAGCTCTGAAAGGCAGAGACTGGGTTGCCATAAAGTATTACATCCACAACAGGATCGTAGCATTGAAAAGAAAGATGAATAAATAAAATTACAAAATGCAGGTTCAGGAATGCTGCATCAGTTAAAATTAACTTGATTTTCATTTTTATTTTTTTTTAATTTTTGACTTTGTCTGTTGGGTTAGTAATGACTAAGTTACTCAGTCCTTTCTCCTGGTTTTTGCCATCATAAGTTAATACTCAAGGGAGATAGTTTGTTACTCTCAGTTATTTCAGTATTGCAGGTCACTCACAGTTATTTCAGTATTACAGGTCTCTGCATTGCATTGTTTATACCCATAAATCTGTTTATTATGGGTGCATTTTGTAATTAAAAAATAAGAAAGGCAGAAAATGTTCCATGTTTTTATTCACATAAACATTCACTGCAAAATTAATGCAATACAATATTAAGACTTAAAAAGTAGACTGACCACATTTTTGAGCTATGTCTCTTTTTAAGTCTCTATACAGCTCAGATTTACTGTGTTGTATTAACACATGAATGTCTGATATTTCTGTCAGAAGTTACCCGACTGGTGAGCATTACTATTGTGCATCCATGCCTATTATATTGTAATCTCAAAAGGAGCCAAGCTGAAAATACAGACCCTACCCTTACCTGGTCCTTATAAGTCATGTATACTTGAAAATTATGTGTGTATCCATGGGCTTCACAATTCACCTAAACATGAAATATCAGTGTGTGTGACCTTATGGTACTCATAAGTCACATAAACCTGACAGTGTCCTCATAAGTAGCAGTAAATTCAGGTTTGACCAAAATTTAACCCTAGCCAAAATCTCAACAGATGGGCGTGTTCCTGGAAGCATGGGTCAAATTTTTTGTGATTCCCATGCCTCTAGGACCTTCAGAAAGGCACGTTCCCATTTGTCACATTTTTGTCATAGGTACTGATATATCATGAAAACACGTATGTGTGTGTGTGTGTGTGGTGTGTGTGTGTGTGTGTGTGTGTGTGGGCTCTACAGAAGTTCTCTCTGTGTGAATCAGTTTCCTGTGTCATTAGTCTACATCCACTCTAATGATGGTCCCACTGGAGCGCCACTTCTCACACACACACACACACACACACACACACACACACACACACACACACACACACAATCTGAAATCCAGCCTGTGTCGAGTGCGACAGATATGAGAGGCTGCAGTTGCATATGCGAGCATATGTATGTAAATTCCCTCATTTATGGCATTATCTGGAGGAGGCATTGTCTCTCCAACGTAATGTATGACTGCCAGGGAAACATGAAAGAGACGGAGTAAAAGAGAGAGTCTCATATGCATGCAGAGAACCGATACGCCATAACATATAATGACAGTTCCCGCATGTGGAAGAAGAAACACGGAGGCAAATGAGAAAGAGAATTAGAGAGAGAGAAAGTAGTTAGAGAAAGAGAGAGATGAGACAAAGAGGGGAGAGAATTGAAGAGCCGTGGAGGAAGAGTGGAAAAGAATAAGGCCCGACTGATTTGGGACTTCTCAAGGTGAAGAGAGATTTTTTTGGATTTAAGATATTTAATAATAGTGTAACCAATTTCAAGCTTGTAATGGTGTAATAGCCTGTGCTGCATTACAACAGAGGTGGAATGCAGAGGTAGGATGAGAACTTGTTTTAATAAAAGGCCAATATCAGACACCTAAAACAGCAAGTTGAAAGAATGGCCAAAAGGAGTAAGAGAAAGAGGCGGCTGAAAACCTGGGGAGGGCGTGACAGAAGCAAAAAAGGAAAATGTGTATGTGTAAATGAGTTCAGGCATGTATTATGTTCACAATGGGGCATGTGGTGTGCATATTCAGGGCCTGAATAAAGAGAAAGATACGGTTTGGCTTTGAAAAATGGCCAGGTGGGATAATATGACTAGCTCAGCCGTTTTGGAAGACCTTAAATAGTGTGGGAGAGAAGACCTGTTTTTTTTTATGTATAGTCATATAAATAGACACACACTGAAAAGCTGAATGTGGTGCAACTTTAAGCGTATTGTGAGAAAATCAGTTAACCTCTTTACATTCACCATTCACTTATGACTCCAAGTTTAGCTCAAGTTGAGATATTCTGGAGAATTGCTTTTTGCCCTTTTCTCAATAAAACGAAAAGTTGGGTACTGCCTTCATATTTGGGTATCAAACCTGGGGTAGGCAGGGTTGACCCTGTCTTTGGCCCAGCTTAGCAATCCATACAATAATCTATAAAGTATAAATCAGAATAAAAAAGCAAAAGAAAGACATGGACGTGTTAAATAGCAGACTAGTTTTAAATGAAGCTGGAAGGTGAATTTGACTTTTCAATATTGTTGAATTATGGAGCATTTGGAGGGAGGGATTGTGCAGGTGACTTCACTATGTTCAAATTTTGATTAGGGTAAGTGTTAACGCTACGTTGTGATAGTCACCAGTGATGACTTGGACCTCGTTTCAGAATTTAGCTGCAACTCAGTTGGGGTAACAGGGAAGCTGTTTTGTTGTTAAAACATTAGCATTCTCCTACTGCATGGTTATTTGTCTACATGTGTATAAAAAGGAGTTGATTATTTTGGTTAAGGGTGAATGCTAGCAGAAGGCTGCTGCTAGGCATTTCTTGCCGTTGCTAGTTTCTTTCTTGAAATAAAAATGGTGGATACCGTAGAGTAACTCATGTTGCTGTGACATAAGTTATCCTTACAGAAAGATATGTGACTACAATTGATATAAAGATATATAAATAAATGATGGGACCTCTTGATAATCCAACAAATGCTCTTGATTAGCTGAGGCTAACATAGCATAATGACGGTAACCATACAAAATTGCTAATTAGGTTTATCTCAACATAAAATATGCTTAATCTTTATCCTCTCCAAATGTATATAAAAATGGCAAGTGCGTACACATAATGTGCGCTCCACAAGACAAATCAGAACATGGGAAAGGAAGTAGGAAATGACCAGCAATTACCTGGAAGGAACTAGGATATGCTTTACTTTAAAAATGAATTCTAATTTTGTCTATGCCAGGAATAAAAATCTGTTTTAATTCGTGATAGCAGGAAAAGCACACGTGTAATCGAAAATGCTACTGATGACTACATTCCACTTAACTGTCTCTGTAAACCATGTCTATGTCAGAAGGCTGTATAGTGGAGTCCTGGAGTGAGGAAATCTGAATGGAATGTAGCATTGATAAATGTTATTAATTACACATGTGCTACTTCTGCTATGGTGTGTTAAGTTAGCTATGTGAAAGAGAAAAAAAAGCTCTTTGACAGTTGAACTGAGTGACTTTGCAGTGAAGCTCTGATATACCTGCTGCACTCCTTTTGCTGCTGTTGTTGCAGTCGTCCAATGATCTTTGTGCCTGTGTTCTTTAAACCAATCCCTAGTTCTTTAAATATCACTTTAAATCTGCCATTTCACCTTTCAGATCTTTGAACCTTGATAACTAACTTAAAGTTTTCACTGGTAATCTTCACCAGTATCTAAAGTCCACGGGGCTTCTGCCCTATCCCCTGCCTACAATTGGGTTAAACCTATTATCAGTCACCCAAACATATTAACTATATTATTTAACGTTTTTACTTTTACATCATCTCTCCATTTGGACCTCACTGATGGTGTGAGTTGAATAAGGATATCCTGTCATTGTGATTCGGACATTTTGACCTCTACTGTTTGCACAGAAGATTATCTAACCAAGCAAATATGTGAAACCTTGGAGTCATATCCACATTTGATTGGTTCACTGGATAATACAAGAAGATGACACTGAGCAGAACTGGCTGAAAGGGATTTTTGCACTATAGAAAACTTTTTGTTATAGGTCATGCTATGTTCCCTTTGAAGACAATCCTTATTCAAGCCAACTATCTGAGCAATGTAGAAACTGAGTGCTTCCACCTGTTAATGTGGTTAATTAAAATCAATTCAAACTGCATTACAGCAGACACTAATCTTTCATTTCCTGATTTCAGATATGAATATGGCCTTGTTAGATCAGCAGAGTTTCTCTCAGCAGTCCCAAACAGTGCTGACCTTTGAAGGATCGAAGCTCAAAATACAGGAGGATTCCTTATTTGGGACTGTCTTTGAAGCATGAGTCTAAAACCATCAACAAAAAGATATGGAGGGCAGTTGCCACACGGTTTAATGACTTCTTGATTTGTTTAAGTCAACGAGCAGTTCATTCACATACTTTGTCTGTAGCTCCAGGTTCTCACTCGCTCAACAGAGTGCCTCACACTATGCCAGTCTGATGTGTTTGGCAGTGTTTACCGTTGTGTATGGTGCAATGTGCAGTTCGGACTGTCATTCATACTTACACTGTAAATATGGGAAGCA